GAGAAACATTAAGAAATAAATGCAGCGGTAAATTAAAAAAAATAGGAAATTCCAACCATTTATTGAAAAAAATGTGTTTTAGTAATGTGAATAATGTTTGAATAGTGTTTTTCTAATTCAGACCAAATTTTAAAACTTGGGAAATTTTGTAATATACACTGAACAAATTTTTAAATACACACTGAATATTTTTGTGATATACACTGAAAAGTATTTAAATACACATTGAACAATTTTTTGAAATACACACTAAATATTTTTCAGTGTATATCACAAAAATATTTAAATACATATTGAAAATTTGTATACTCTGAACAATATTTAAATACAACATTAAACATTTATATACTCTGAACAATTTATAAATACATATTTAAAAAATTGTGATATACAATGAACAATTTTAACGGCCCAAACTGGGGCGTCAGGGAGCCGAGCTCTAGCGAAGCCATGTCCTTTTGACGCTTGCGAGCGTCAAATAGGATCTGCCCCGGGGCTCCCCCACTCTCCTCCCACCGCTGCCGGAGCGACGAGACGAGAGGAGAGCCCACAGGCAACGGCCTCGCCTTCGGCGGACAAGGAAAACTTGCTCTCCTTCCTTTCGCCTGTGTCGGGGAGACACAAAAAAGCAAGTTACGTATAGCAAACGTGGTTTCTTAACAGTACAAAATCTGCTTCGTTACACGCCGTCGTTTTTCTATTGCTCATGGCAAGTACAGGCCGGCAAGTGAAGCTTCCATGCAGTTCAGAAGAAGGCAACCTGTTGGATTAAGGGTACATGGACTTGTTGCTCCACCAGGATTAGCTCACCTCATCCCACACGGCCCATTAATCCATGACCAACTTGTATTTTCGTTTTCGCACGAATAGGGAGGGTAGACAATTTTTGGATAAACCTCGCAGCTGGCATGGCTATCTCTCCTCACAAAAAAAAAGAGAGAGAAGGTGGCATGGCTATCTCTCCTCACAAAAAAAGAGAGAGAGAAGGTAGCATGGCTATCCTCTGTTCATCTCTAGTGTCCGGACAGAGTTAACAAGCAGCATACAAGCATACCCCACCATCTTTTCTAGAGAGAAAAAACATAAAACACCACCTTTGCTTATTTGCCATCCAAGATTACCTCATTAAAACACTCGTCACTCTTTCTTTTAGAAGATGAAACTCATCAGTGGGGCACCAGATTTTGTTGCCTGCAACTGCAAAGCCTACGAGCGATAAACGGAAATCTGGCACCTGATTCTTATCCTGTGAAAAGGACTGACGCCTCCATGGCCAACTTGTTACGTGTGGGCGCCGTTGTTACAGAAAAAGCTGGCTCATTTTGGCCCGCCGGTCGGCCTCAGGTACGGGCACAGGCGCGGTCTTTTTCTGCGGCCTTGTCGAAAATGAAGGCTCGAAGAAGACGGCCCCGCTCGCACCAGCACGAAACTTCTTTTATTTCGCTGAGGAAATCAGAGCAGTAATGTGTCTGTCTGTCGCTGCCTTGCGGCCCACACTCTCGCCCGAGCAGATAGATGGGCTGCACCAGGCCCGTGGTTCAGATTCAAGCCCGAGAATTTCGGCCCCCCAAAAAACAAAGCAAGCCCGAGAATTTCGCTGTCCTCTCCACCACGGCCATGGATCATTTTTTACCCTAAGATAAGAAAGAGCCCCACGTCCATGGAGCTTCTCCGACGAGATCGTTCAGCGCGAAAAACACCGCCCTTGACGCCGGCGGCAAGCAGTAAAAACCTCCGGCAAGTGCAGTGCAGGCCTCCATTACGAAAAGAAAAAGCCGAGCGTGCTCACTCACAGCGGGCCCGTGCCGCTCCTCACCGTCGCCGTCCGGAAGAGGCCGTTTCCTCATGCCGCACACGGCCGGGGCCGGGGCCGGAGCAGGAGCGGGCCGGGGTGCGCCCGGCACTCGTCACGTCGCGTCGTTTTGCGCTCTGCGCCGCACGTTATAGCCCTGGCAGCAGTACTCGTACCCGCCGCAGGGAGGCCACTCCGTCGTGCCGGCCCGCCCGTAGCTAGCCCGTACCGGAAACGCAGCCCACGCCTCCGCCCTCCGCGTCGCTGTCGGTGCGGCGAGCGTCTCACTGCCTCAAGCCGGTCACAATGGGGAAGAACATACTCCCTCCTTTCCGATTTATAAGACTCAATTAAAAAATTTCACCAACCAAAATAGATGATGAGTGATGAAATAATTTTTGTAATTTGCAAAACCAGTCAATTAATGCGCTTGTTTTCCTCAAACAATTATGTTTATCAATGCATTAATTGCAATGCATACATGCACAAAGCACATGCATTGGTCAATTTTCTTTTAATACTTGTATGCAATGATTTAATGCACCTTGAAATCTGAACATGTGATGGGGAACAACCAAATTGAGCTTAGGCTAGTCATAATGGGAGTAACATAGGTAGTAACATAGATGCCACATAAGCAAAATTGGTGATGTGGCAAGTAGTTAATGAGGAGAGAGGCAAATAGAGTAACATAATATGTTACCATCACATAGCGGTTTCCAATGCATAATGAGTCTACAAAGTAATAAATGAAGGCAACTATGTTACCACACCTATGACACTACCCACTATGAAGGTAGTAACATAGACTAGTAAGATATGTATGTTACTAGTCTAAGTTACTCTCCACTATGACCAGCCTTATAAAACGGGAAAACTAAAATTTTAAGATAAGCCTTATAAACCGGAAAGGAGGGAGTAGTCTACTAACTTACACACTTTCCTAGACTATGGTACTACCTCCACAGTGGGTAGGGACATCTATATAATGTCATGCAACAATGTATTTATTAGGTTATAGACTCATTGTTTCTTGAAGTGTGTGATGTTTCGGTAACTTAGCTAGTTACCACAAGCATCTTTTTCTTCATTAAATATGTGACACATAAGCAAAGTTCTGAGTTCCCAGCCTCACGATGGCGACGGCGACGGAAGTACAATCAATCAATTAAGCTCGCCGTGGGGCCCCGCCTGTCACCGGTCCGATCAGTCAATGCGCGCTTTGACCTGCCCCAGTGCCACAGACGCTCCTCGGGAATTGGGGCCTCGTGAACGCCCAGCATGGCTGCGTGGAGCAGCGGTACGTACGGTCCTCTTGTCTTCGGGCGGATTAACTAAACCGAGCAACGTGCTCCGATCAAGACGAGCCGGGGTTGGTTTTCCATGGCCGGCCGGACAAAAAGTCCCCGCTTTCGACCCGGCTCACGTGCCCCCACCCCTCGTTCCTCTCCAAGCACTAGCACTAGCAGCGCACTCCACCTCCGTTCTGCATGCCTCTCGTAGGCCTCAATAATCTTAATCTATCATAAACCCCGTGACCCTGCCGTAACAGCAGCGTTATGCTACTACCAAACCAAATCACTCTACGGGTTAGCACTGTTGTAGCAGTAGGAGTAGCACGACCAGCCTGACGCCAACTCGCCGTGGTTCGGTTCCTGCTGCCCGGCCCAGATCTGGATCGCATTATGCAAGCGGCTAAGCCAGTCTTGTGCACAGGCACGGAGCTTGCAGAAGCCGCAATGGCCCGGCGTGATGATGAGATGCGACTGCGCAGGCGATCCCGACTCTACCGACGATCCGGAAACTGAACGTTATCTCCGTCCCCCATGTGTTGATTCCTTCTCCGCCATGAGTGATTAGCGTGCCATGCATGTGCCTGCCTCTGCCCTGCCTCCTTTCAGATCGCCACCCATCGATTAGGTAAGCTACTACTAGCCCAGACGGGAAAGCACGGCGAGAGAGAGGGAGAGCATCTGCCTGCCCTCCCACGAGGCCGTCTACGGGCTACTTGTTGTTACGAGTGCGTGCTCTAGTCTCCAGTAAATGGTGCAGAATCTAGAACAGTGCCAGCCCTTGGATTTACTGAGAATAGGCTCCGGTGGAGGGGTGTGGCCGTGGCGTCCTCGATGCGCTCCAGCGACCCACGTGATCCGATTTAGCGGGTCGGAGTTCTCGTAGTTGGATCGAGATGCGTGGTCATGTGTGCGCGCGTGCCGTGCGCGGGCGAGGGAGGCAAAGCGCGGGAGCTCAGAATTTTTAGGGGTTCAGTTCAGTGGCGCGGAATCTTTGACCATCAATGCCGTGCCCTTGCCCCTGCACGACGAGGGTTTAACTTACTGTATTATTTCTCTTAATTGAGCAAGCGGTTCTTATCTAAAACAGGACCAACGCACCGTACTGCAGCGGGCGCCGGATGTAATCGTGCTAGTAAAATCTTTTGAGCAAACATGGCCATGATGGAGGAGCATCGGGTAATTATCACGCCAGATTCGCCACGGAGCACAGAATTAACGCGTGTACTGCGGGGGCTGCAGAGCGAGTAAATATTACTGTCACCGTCGCGCACAGAAATGGGAGCGAGACGCAACGCAATGATGTTACTGCCGCTGCACTGAAACTTACCTACCCACTACCCACCCCGTGCCCTCTCCTCTCTGTCGTTCCACGGTGAAACGAAACGCGTTCTGTCAATTTACTTACCGCAGCGGTAACAGATCGCCGGCCAGTCTCCATCTCTCTCTCTCCCTCGGCGACCCATACACGGGCGATCGGATCGGCACTGCTCCTCCGCGATTCCATGGCCCCTCCCCGAGCCCTCGCCTCCGGCAGCCCCGAGACATCTTTCCGGTGATGTGAGCGAAGAGCAAGCGTCTTTTCGCTCACCCTGCTGTACCGAATGAGCAGTGCGTTGCATCTGCTTTAACCCGTCGCCACTGCCAGTGTCAGTAGCCTGCTCATGCTCATGCTCAATAATAAACGTTCCTCGTCGCAGCTCCTCCACGTGCCCGTGCCCGCCGTGCCACGCTCGCGTCGCGCGCGCGCGCAGCTCGGTGTTCAGTACACTAGCTAGCTAGCTCACGCGCCCACGCCACCTTTGCTCCCTCCCCCGCGCTTGTTTCGTGGCTCCTCTTTCTTTCCGGCGGGCGGGGCACGGAGTTGGCGGCGTCGGGGGCGGGCAATGCCGTCGCGGGCGAGGGCGTAGGGCAGGATGGGGTGCCGGAGCTCGCGGCTGGACGCGGCGGACGTGTCCCCCGTGGCCGCGCTCTGCCGGGAGCGCCGCGACCTGATGCTCGCGGCGGGGGACCGCCGGGCCGCGCTCGCGGCCGCGCACGCCGCCTACTTCCGCGCGCTCCCGCGGGTGGCCGACGCGCTCGCGCGGTTCGCGCACGAGCACCACGCCGCCTCGCCGCCCGGGTCGCCCGTGCTCACGCTGCCCCCCTCCGACCACGACGAGCCCAAGAAGCCCAGCGCCTCCAGCTCCACCCCGCACACCGACTCCGGCCACTCCCACCTCCACTTCCACTCCGACGCCTCCGACTCTGATCCCGACTCCGCCGACGACTGCGCCTGCGATGACCCCGGCCACGGGCACGGCGCCCGCGGCAAGATCCCGCCGCCGACTGGAGTGCCCCAGCAGCGTCACATCCCAGAGCCTGCAGCGGCCAGGCCGGCCATGCCATGGCAGGGCAGGCCCGCCATGCCCTGGGATGGCAGGCCCGAGATGCCGTGGGGCGGCATGCCCCAAATGCCGTGGGACGGCAGGCCCGAGATGCCATGGGCGCAGGCCTCCTACGACGCCTACCCTTCTTCGTTCCCAATCCCAGATGTCGCAATCCCCAATGCCTACTACATGAAGGCCAGTTCGGCGGCGGCGAACACGGTGTACCAAGAACCATACGGCTACAGCAACTTCGCCACCAATGTGCCTTCCTACATGGGGTACGAGTACGGGTACAACAACCCAATGTACGGCGTGCCGGAGGGGGGCCAGCCGGTGGAGCATCGTGGCCGGGAGGCGGCGGCTCCGGCTCCGGCGCCGCCGCCGCCGATGCCGATGCCGGAAGCGTCGCCGTGGGACTTCTTCAACCCGTTCGACTCCTACAACCAGGACCTTCCACACTACAACCAAAAGGGGTTTGCTCCGGACGGGTCGTTCTCCAGCAGCCCCAACTCCAGCGAGGTGAGGGAGCGGGAGGGGATCCCGGAGCTGGAGGAGGAGACGGAACACGAGTCGTCGATGAGGGAGTCGCTCAAGGCGAGGAAGGCGGTGGAGAGCACGGCGTCGAACCGGATCGACAATGCGGATGTCAGTGCCAAGGTGAAGGTGTCAATGGAGCACACCGAGTGCGAGATTGACAGCGTCCTCAGTGCTTCGGTTCTCGAGTCGGGGGAGGGGAGCGTGTGTAGCTGTGACTGTGACAATGCCAATGCTGGAGGAGGAGCGGCAGCGCCGGTTGGCGATGATCCGGCGAAGGTGAAGAGGGTAAGCTCAGGGGAGCACTCATCCATGGTGGTCGGTGAGAATCCGCCGCTGCCGAGCGTTGGGACGAGGGATGTTGCAGAGGTTGTGGAGGAGATAAAGGAGCAGTTCAACTCTGCCGTCGCCTGTGGAGATGATGTTGCCAGGATCCTTGAGGTCGGGAGCATTCGGTACAGACCGCGGAGTAGGATCTTGAAATGTGAGTATACCCGCTTCTCTTTTCAATTGATTGTGCATACATGTTCAATTGCTGTGACACTGAAAGTGTACTCTGAATTCCTAACAGCATCAGATTCTTATGCAAACTCAAGCCAACTTAGCTAATATGTTCCTGTATTAACTTAGCACTATTTTTTTTTCCTAAGGTTCATATATGAGATTTTTTTTTCCAAAAAGGAGATTAAACCTCCGGCCTCTGCATCATTATGATGCACATAGCATTTTCTAGTAATTATTAATCGGAGTACATAACATAATGTATGAGATATGGTATTGTGTATCTTTCTTCTGATCATATTGATCTGTCCACAGAAAGAAATTCTTCCTCACCTTGCCTGCTCTTTTTCAATCATACTATGTCTTAATAGGTTAACTAACTTGGCCATTACCTTGACGCAGTGATAGTTTCACGGATGATAGGAACCTTTGCCTTGTTGTTCTCTGAACCTTCAGTGAAGAACGCGGAACAATCAGCAATTGGTTCATCCAGCAGAACTCAGAATTCAAGTAAAAGAATCGATGGTACCAGCGGTGTTGAAATTAATACCCTGTCTTCTATAATGGACAGATTGTATGTGTGGGAGAAAAGACTTCATAAGGAGATCATGGTATGCTACTCTTCATCATAAAAAGTGTGCCTTTATTCCTGCTGTCATGATTCCTATAATGATCAACTCTCAGAAGTTCAAAGCCTGATAGTGCTCTCAAACTCTACGTAATATTCTACATCTGTCGAGCTCGTATGCTCTGAAATGCATTGGTTGACTCATATGCACAAAATTGAGCCTCATAGTGGTGTTAAATTAATTTTATCTTTATCTATGAAGTGGCGCTTTTCATTTTTCATGCGTTTTTTTGCAAGTATCTCATTAGCATTTTTCCTTGAATTTTGTTAGGAGGAAGAAAAGTTGAGGATTACATATGACAAAGAATGGAAGCGCCTTAAAGAGTTGGATGAGAGTGGTGCAGAACCGTATAAAATTGATTCCACACGTGCCTCTATAAGGACACTGCTCACCAGAATCAATATTGCAATGAGATCAGCCAAAGTTATTTCTAGGAGAATCCACATACTACGGGATGATGAGCTACATCCACACCTCGTTAAGCTCATTCAGGGGTATGTGAAGTCTAGTTCAACTTTTTTATCCTATTGAGTTGATCTTGAAATGGTTGAAATTCCAAGCATTTATTATTTCTGTGAAATTGTTAGGATGACATTCACTACTTTTTTTATTTTTGCAGTCATAAGGAACATTGTTGCCCTTGTTTAAACCATGCTACAATGTGTTGATATCATGTCCAATATTTGAATTATTAGCACTGGATGTTGCAACAGTTTGAATACAGTTTTTTTTTCATGAGAACCATCGCAACATTACCTATGATCAGCTACTTTTAGGATGTGTTTATAATCACAGTTTAATTGGATAAATTTCTGATTGCGCCACTAAACTAAGCTTCACTTAGGACATCCTAAAGTTTGGTTATCCTGTTTTGTATTGAGCAGGGCACTTGTCATGTAAACAGATATGGCCTTGGCCTCTTATGTGACTTGCTTTAATAAAACAAAAGATTCCCTGGCACATAGCTATTGTCTCAAACAGTATTTTTTGCTCATTTATATCTTGCAAAGATTCTTGATCTCCTACTATATTGCAAGATAAGATTTTTCAGCGGACTGACCATAAATTGTTGTCATTATGGTGCAGGCATGTTAGAATGTGGAAATTCATTCTTGAGTGCCACAGGAAGCAATTTCATTCCATACTTGAAACTAAATCTCATATTCTTATCCCCAAGAATGGACCTGAAAGAGAAACATCCAAGGTTACACTAGAACTAGAAATGGAACTTCTGAACTGGTGTTCCTGTTTCAGAAATTGGATCATATCACAAAAGGCGTATATCGAAACCCTCAATGGCTGGTTACTCAAATGGCTTCCTCAGGAAAAGGAGGAAACATCCGACGGCATCGCGCCGTTCTCTCCTGGTAGACTTGGAGCCCCTGGTGTGTTCATCACAGCAAATGATTGGTGTCAGACCATGAAAAGGATACCAGAAGGCGCTGTCGTGGATGCGATGGAGGCTTTTGCTGTTAATGTGCACATATTATGGGAGCGACAGGACGAAGCGCAGCAGCAGAAGATGAAAGCCGACTATTTATCTAGAGACTTCTCAAAGAGGCTCAAATCTCACCAAAAGGATCAAGCCTTGCCTGGGCATCCTAAAGCTGGTAAGGCGGTTTTACCCGACGGCGACAATGGCAGGGCGGTCAATAGCCGCATGGTAGCTCTGGATGCATTGCACACAAGATTGGATGAGCAGAGAGCTAGGCATGAGGAGACTGTGAGAGAAATCCAAGAGTCAAGTGCAACTGACCTGAAAGCAGGCCTGGCTCCAATATTTGAAGCGTTGGAGTCTTTTACTCAAGAGACACTGAAAGGTTATGAGAATGTAAGGGTTCCTGACAGTGGTATAGCCTGATTTCAAGGTCTTCGCCCTTTGCTTCTGAATGATGGTCTGTACAATGAGAAGAGATGATCTCAGGAGTCAATGGTAATAAGATATGCCAATCACAATACCGTTGTACCGAACTACGTAATCCAGAAATGATTGCAGATGATTCTGAACAAACACTGGGGCAGTTTCCTCATTAGCTATTGCTGCTTCTACCAAATGATCTGCCAGGAGCCAGGAGTGAATTTGGTTGGAGCGCCTCAAAGGAGGGCCAGGAAATTTTGTAGCCATTTCAGCTTTGTGTACATATATTAGTTCAGTTAGTGGTTATGCAGAATAGATTATTGTTTCTGTAGAATTTGACCTGTACATTGTAACAGCTGTATTTATGTGCTGGTCTCCACTAAAAAAATGCGCTACTGAATGCAGATGTTCTCCGCCTTCTGCTCTGTGGTGTTGTCTCCTTGGAGTTTGATGTTTCAGTGAAGTTGACTAAAAAATTGTCTCCTTAGAGCAAGAAGAAGCGATTGTTGAGGGAGAAGAGAATTTTCTCAAATACATCACTGTTTTTTATAAAAACCTTATTTGGACAGGCTGATGGATCTTCTATTTCCTTTAACATCCAAGAGGCTCAGAAAATATTTACATGTTTAAATTTCTTTATTTTAACTAAAAATGTAATAAAATGTTCCCTTAGTTTAATAAAAATATTTATTGCCAGTAAAAAAATGTAAAATTTGTATTTGGGAAATGTTACCATGTATTCAAAAAGTGTTCAAAACATGTATTTTTTTAAATATACATGATGTGTTTGAAAAATGTCTGGCATGTATCAGAAAAATGTTTCACGTGTGCTCTAAAAATGTACATTGTATACTAAGAATAAAGTAGATATGTGTTGGCAAAAAAGGAACTGATAAAGAAACAAAAGAAAAGCAAAAAAACCTGAAGAAAACCAAGAAGCAAACAAGGAAAACGAAAGTTCAACTAAGAAAAAAAAAGAAAAACCAAAAATCCAATGAGAAAACAAAGAAAATCAAAGTAAAATGAAGAAAAAAAAGGAAAAATAAATAAATAAAAGAAACCAAAAAACCCGAATAAAACCAGACCAGGGCGAACCTACAACGAGCCAGCAAACTGCACTATAGCCTGTTTGGTAAACATTTGGGCAAGGAATGAGAGTTTGCTCAAGGGTGTTTATGAAGGGATTAGGTATGGGAAGTAGATTTTTACTCCCATTTTCTTGTTTGGCATATGATGTGAATTGACGTGGGATAGAACTCTGCTCACGAATTAACAGGATACCCCCTGAGAAGAAATCGGTGGGAATTGGCTTTCTCAACTCCCAGTCCCCTTCCCACTTAAACTCCCATTCCCTCTAATCAAACAGTGGATTTTTAATCTCCTTACCTCTCAACTCCCATTCCTCGTCTCTAATTCCCCTGAACCAAACACGCTGTAATGTGATTGTGTTCTTTTTGAAAACTATTTTGGCTATCTTAGGCAGCATAATGACATAAATAAAAATGATCCTTTTGGTTATCTCAACGTGGATATCGGCGATGGAGAAGCACGTCTCAACGCTGCAGCAGCCACCGAATGTATGAACAGCCTTGAATGATATCGTTGCAGCCCATGGTGGACTGAAAACAATACCTCATGACCATCTTGGCCTGAGCCAGAGGATCACGGACGAAGCACTCAATTTTTTTTTTTTCTTTTTACGAAAAAACTTCTAATCTATTTATCTTCAATCATGATAGTAAAACGAACACCAGAAATAAAAAATACCTCCAGATTCATAGATCACCTAGCGGCAACTACAAGTATCGAAGTGAGCCGAAGGCGTGCCGCCGTCATCGCCCCTCCATCGCCGGAGTTGGGCACAACTAGTTGTAATAGACAGTCGGGAAGTCATCGTGCTAAGGCCTCATAGGACCAGCACCCCAGAACAACAACCGCCGCCGATGAAAAATAACGTAGATCGTAAGGATCCAAACCAAAGACACATGAACGTAAACGAATAACGACGAGATCCGAGCAAATCCATCAAAGATAGATCTGCCGGAGACACACCTCCACACGCCCATCAACGATGCTAGACGTACCGCCGGAACGGGGCTAGGCGGGGAGACCTTTATTCCATCTTCAGGAAGCCACCACCGTCTCGCCTTCCTAAATAGGACACAAACCCTAACAAAATTGAAAAAACGACTAAAAACAAAGCCCTTCCGCCGACCCTTGTCAGGATCCACCGCGTCTCCATGACCCTAGGGCCACTGGAGACGAGGCGGACCTGCGTCGGCGTCGACAAGAAGCACAAACCCTAACTTTTTTTCTTGGGAAAGGAGGAGAAGGCGGAGACCTGGCTCTAGGTACGTGCGATGGTGGCGATGATTAGTGCAGACGAACGCACATACTCCCTCCGTTCCAAAATAGATGAATCAACTTTATACTAACTTTAGTACAAATTTAGTACAAAGTTGGATCATTTATTTTGGAACGGAGGAAGTATGAGGAAGCACTCAATTTCACGGAGCTAGCTTCTCAACCCATTGTTCCAGCTGGTTCAATTCTTCCAGTTGCATGCTTTATGGTACAGTCTGCAAAATACATACATATGTTGTCAATCTGTGCCACTGCCTATTCACGTGCAGCATGTCCCCGTTCGGAGTACTTCTTTTTGCACCAATTAAAACACCATTGTTGTTTTGTAGTGCATCACAGAGGAGGCCAAGTTAATGTGATATTCTTTTCTAGAAAAGGAGGAGGTCCTTTGGCCTTTGCATCTGGACGATGCATGCAGCCACTTTATTAATTATTCACATAAGACTTTATAAAGTCATACAACAGTAAGGCTAAAGCCATCGTCTAGGCAACATCTATCGCTACTCTTATCCAGTTGATATAAGGATGCTGTTAGTCTGGGTATGAGGCCGTCGCAGCCACCTGCCATCAATCCATCTTCAATGATGTATTGAAGTATCTATCTTGCCCGGTCTAGTTGCCGTCGACGCCACCATGACACTAGACAATGCCACCATCTTGCGTTCGTCCATCGTCACACGCCCACCGACGATTCCCCGCTACTCCATGCCGCCGAGATCCGCTGTCATCGACGCGAGAGAAGGCACGCCAGACCACCTCACGCCTCTTCCATCCGGCGCCGCTCCACAAACAATGCCCCCAATAGGGAACATGACACCACAGCGTCGCCATCGTCCGATCCGGTGATCTTAGGATTTCTTCTAGAGCGGCACGAGTAGGTTAACGACCGTTGCTTGACGATGTCTTCATCAAGTTAATGTGGTATTGACAATGTCCAACATCAATGCTGATGAGTTTCCGGGATAGACTGTGGTAAATGTATTTTGAATTTTGCACTGAGGTCCGACAGGTTGCGGTCGACATTCTGACCACCTACAAAGGGCCTTACTCTAAGCAAGTCTATACTACCATGCTGGTATGTTCATGCCTTACCTAATATCCAGTGTTCATGCTTCAGTCAACCAACTGTAAAATGATGCTTTGAAGGGTATGCAAAGGGAGGCAATCCAGCATCTAAGTTGCTGGATCAAGAAGTTGATAGCATTGGGGACGAACTTCAGGTTTGATATCCGGTGTTGGATTATGGATGGGATTAGGCCCATATAAGACAATAATTCTTGGTTACTCTCTAAGGCCCATGCATGTGTACGACAAGTGGTGGGAAGTGTGGGAAGTTTAGTAACATACTGCTACAGTAAGAAGAGTGAGATCTCTTTATAAGGGCTGCTCCATCAATTGTTATTGGGAGCATGGAAATAGGAGTTGTACACGCGCGCTCCTCCTCCGCCGCTGTCCGCCTCGCCTCGTCACGACGCGCGCGCGCGCCGCGGGTTGCGGGAATGAGCCGAGGCAAAGCTTATTTTTGCCGCTCAGGAATGGTTAATTAATTGTTAATTAATTAACGAGTCGCTTACGGAAGCATCGCTGTCCGAGACATTAGACCGTGGGCTGTTCGCGGACTCGGTCATGGGCCTGACCCAGGCCCATCTATCTGACGGCCTATATAAGAAGGTGCTGGCCAGTGGAGTGAATCCGAACTCAGTTCACTCACTCCCTCTCGTACAACCCTAGCCATCATCTACTGTTTCTCTCTCTGTGCTGCTTCCGGCGATCCCATCCCGATGACCGCGCGCACGGTTGGTCGGGAGAGTAGGTGCCTCCGGAACCCTGTCGTTCGAGATCCTGCCCGGGAGAACGGCAATAAGATTTTTGGGGAGCGTCTCGACGCGACTGCTCCCGATCCATTCCCGTCTTCGTCCGCCTATGCTTCCACTACTTCCTCTACATCGACTCCATGGCTGACGACGAAGTCGCCAAGAAGAAGGCCTTTGCTGATGCCGAGGCTGCTACTGCCGCCGCCGCGCTGGCCTGGCCAATCGGAGGGTATGACTCGTTCATCCCCTATTTGCTCGTTCATGTGCTGACCATATATATGCTGTTCATAGATGTTTCGTTTCTATGTACTGTACGTGCTCACATGCTTAGGTATCGGTATGAGATGCATACCGTATTTGCCATGCTTACTGTTTACTCGTGGATTAGATTAGTCGAAAAAGTGCTAATATTTCCAACAATCCAAAACCTTATTTTAGGCACTTTTCGACTCATGGCTTCGCCACTACTCTTAAACCGGAAAAGTTTACTGCAACACATTTTAAGCATTGGCAGACGAGGACCACCTTGTGGCTCACAACAATGAACGTGTTCTGAGTTGGTGATGTGGCTCCCACGGTAACGATTGCTCCTGAACAGGAGAACGCGTTTAGGGAGGCAACCACCATCTTTGTGGGAGCCGTTCTTACTGTGATCGGAGACAAGATTGTGGACGCACATCTCCATATGCGCGTTGCCAATAATTTGTGAGATGCGCTCAAGGCTAAGTTCGCGCAACCAATGCTGGAAGCGAGTTGTATGCTATGGAGCAGTTCCATGATTACAAAATGGTTGATAACCGTTCTGTATTGGACCAGGACCATGAG